TCTTGATTCAAACCATTCAAAAACAGTGAGCCACTGCTGGAAGAGAAAAATGCTGGCCACTGCCCTTGCTACATCCTCGTGCCAAGACCGGTGCTGAAACTTTTGTCAAATTAATGGTACACACATGAACTACTTCGCTTGAACAACATCTTTACATGAGTGGGGGGTTGACTGAAAGGGGCAACCGCATGGCCGGTCCAGCCACTTTGAACGTCGATTCTACGAAAGTGGGTCTAGAGAACAATTAAAGGTTCACTAAAACAATTGTAAGACGACAACTACTTTCATTATTAGTAACTAAACTCTCGCGTATTACACTTCCAACATTTCTAATACACCCGGCTGGTAATCCAATTACAATCGCATTATCACTACTGCCGCCGCCGATAACAGCCAAATGGGATTAGTACTGATATTATTACAACTTATCATCAGTCTAATAAAATCCATAAAGCCATCTACTTACCACAATGCGTTATTGAGTTGTAGAGTCAACCGTTGTCTGAGGACAAGCTTATTCAGAATTGAAGAGTTGTTTCAATATAAGTTTGTTATACAAACTCCTTGTTTTGTGAGAACGTTAAAAATGTGCCTCAAGATGGCCAAATATATAGGAATTCGATCTCCTAGGATTTAAGCTACTAAATGTATTTACGTGCAAAACTGTATAGAAAACCGAGGTAAAATCTTACAAACCAAACGACAGACAGAAATACAGATTCGAAGATATTTTTTTACGTAGTGCAAAACTTCAGAATTCTGTGATTATACATAACAAACTTAAATAATTTGTGAAGCTCATAAAGCCATTCATTTAGTATATTGCTGCAGCTATGCGCAATTAACCTACTGGCTGATACAACTCAAAAGGCATTACATTTCCCTGTTTCCCAGACGCCTGAAAGAAAACGGCGTACACTTAATTAATCTACGCAATAAGACCTGAACATTTTTTCTGAAAACTCAGCAATTCACAGAGGTTTATAAATCAGCTACAACAACAAAGTCAACAACCGATGACAAAGGTGGTCAGAAGATACCACTATTACATCAGATGCTGAGTTCGAGACGAGACGCTGCAACCAGGCCTTCAGGCATGGGTGACTATGAGGATGTGAACTTCCGAGAGGGGCAATTATACCTTTCATTTTTGCCATATTAAACAAGAGACTGGTTCTGATTAGAAAACTTGTGTTTCTTAGTTTCTAATTCCGAATCGCGCAACTACTTCTGTTGAAGTTGCCGTCCCAGATTCTCGGTGTACCGTCAAGCACAAGAGTGCAGCAGTCCGTATGTGAGATGGCTTCTTAAATCTATTTAATGCAAATTATTCTCCAGACAAAAATCTATCAAACCCTTGTATTTATTTCAGTGTCAAGAGATAATTCGTGCCGAAATAATTTAAAACTTCTGCATGTGCGTTCTTTCATCTGTAGCTCGTCCGTAAAGCAACTACATAAACTCACTGGCATCCATAAAGTAGACACACTCTACGCAATTATGTGCGAGTGGTAAGAGAACACCTTATCCGGGTATAGGAACAAGCTAATTCAAGACATATTCAATGCACCAGTCATCCAAGTCAGATACTAACAACCAGTGTCTCCTCATGCCACTACAGTCGGGTTCAAATCTCGGTTAGGAGACCGGCAATTCCGACAGGGATTTTCGTGGTTCTCCTCAGTTCCTCCAGGTAAATACGGCGATTGGCCACATCTTCTCAATTTATTACCCATTATATTATTCGACGCACAGCACTGTTAGATAAACAACAAACAAATAAAATAATGTACCATTTAACCACAAATGCATGTTTCTGTGCAGTTCGGGTCATAGCAGTAATTACAACAGGAACCGACAGGTGAATATCAGAGAAGCAACTTCGACACTTTAACTTTATAATTTTGCTAAACGCCGTAGTGTTGTGGTTATTTGTCACTCCTGCTTTTCATTCTGAAGATTCCTTGTTCAAATCTCGGCCCACATACCCATTACAGAGACTAACGTTTTTCAGTTTCCTTCTACGTCTTTTCAAATCCATCATCCACTGGCCGTGATGCAACAGACATAGTTCACTAACAGTCACTAATAAATCAGCTAACAAAGAGATCTTCGTCTGATGAATGGACGGTGAAACTCTTGCAGAATGTTCAGAATACGAAATGCCAATCCCTTTCCCTTGAAAAACACGTCATACCATCATCTTCGGCCGGTTTTCTGTCTCTTCTTCGATGACGCGCATATTCAGCGACCAGACAGTCAAGCCTGCATCAACATCCATTCATAATATGCAAGCTCGGAGGCCGCTCACACGATGACCTGCATACCAGGCAAGGTTCCCGTTGAGAGACCTGCGTACACCCGCTCTGCCGACAAAGTCGTGCACGCACGCTGTCTCACACGTGTTCTTGCTTCCTCCACGACTCTTGCACAATGGTCATCACATTATGTGTGAGGAAAACTCCCTGGAAATTTCTTTCATCCTTCCAACGGCTTGAAACTTACAAATTCTTGTATCGGTTATACGTACGAGAATTTTTTTTGGCCCGTCCTTGAATCTCACAAATTCAGAACACGAGATTTCTTTTCGGGGGACCTTGAATTATAATGTCGGTCTACACTTTCTCCACAGTACATCCCTATCTTACAAAGCAAGAATGTTAACCAACACTCAATCACGACGTGTGGTCATGGGTTCACAAGAATACGTAAGTAGAATGCAGATAATTGGTTGAATTTCTGTGCAGAGTAATCTTCTTTAATCTGGCTATTTTCCCTTTATGGGCTAAGCGCTCTGCGCCCTCCAAGTGCCACAACAGGCCTTTTGAGGGGCTGATGCTGAATTTTGAATGCGGTACGTCGGGGCTACGCGAAGTAATACCGACGACAGACTGGTTGAGAAACAGAATGGTGTAACTTCAAATCTAGGTGCTGCCATATACGTACTGATCAAGTTTCCGAAGTAGAATGCTGTAACAACAGCTATACATATAAGACGATAAGTATGAAGCTGAAGCTGTTCTACAGAATTTCCGGTAAGTCTGGAACCACAGGCAACACACATCTTACCGCAGCGGCGAGTGGTGCAACTGGTTAACGACGATCTTATGGAAGCTGCCATCAAGATCCCCTGACCTTGCACGCATCTCACGACTTCTAACCGTGGGACCATTTGAAAGCCAAGTTGTATGCTGCCAAAACACGGAACATCGAGCATCTTCAAAAGCTACTCGTCACTGTACGCAGATCATACCACATGAAATTAGTGAGGTTTCCGCGGCGGCGAGTCCGAAGATGGCTGTCTTCTGGGTTGTAGCGCCGTGTAGTCTGGTAGAAGCTTACTAAAGTTTCAGGGGTACTTGCTGCCTCCGTCATCAGGACGATGACTCATCGCCCTGATGATGGCATACTTCTACCAAACTACGCGGCGATACAACCAAGAAGACAGCCATCTTCACGACATTCTCTTGTTTGTCCGTCTGCGTGGGGTGAATGCTCAACATATTAGACATGGTTTCTAACAGCTGTGTCAAAACTCCAATTCTGCCTATGGCTCCAGACTTTTACACCTCCAGGTCGTAAAATGCGACTTATTGGACTAACCCACTGAGGCTTCATTTCAGTTCACTTCATCATAACACAATCAAATCATCTGTCGGTGGATTTTCCGCCGTCGGTCTGTTTCTTTCTATTCCTCTCTTTCTTGATTTATTTCTCCTTTTAACCCACTGGCATACTTTGACGGCTACGAAACATCGGCGTACTCAAGTTTTACAGCCGTGATACCACAGGATAAAAGTTAAAACAATTAACTTATTGGGCAATACATAAGACCTATAGCATACAGACGTTTTGTGCGGCGATGGCTAGATTCTCTATTTATGAAATCGTAGACCGATCTTCGTATTACAGAATGCTGGCATGATACTTGACGATACGAACCAACCGTACCGCCGATCATATAGTAATTCAATTGATCATAATAATATTATCTGAAGAGTAAAATTTATAAAGTACCTCAGTAGTACAATATTATACATCCACTTGCTACTTCGTATCTCTTAGACTCGAAAATTCTCCTTCGGCATTTTGTTATCAAACACCCGGGTTTCAGTAGGGCCTATTCTACCTGCACTACAAGAAAAGTCAAGTCGATTACATAAACACTCACGGAAACATATGGAACATAATACATGCATACGGTGACGCCAAAACAAAATTCAATAATAAAACATACCAAAGTAACTATGACTGAGAACCGTTAAAAACCTCAACTGTTGGTTTTCAACGCAGAGCTATCGAGTTCTTCAGCCGTCGACCCATCCTGAAGTTGTCTCAACAGATTCTGAAACGACTCCTGATTTTTCTACAACGGCAAACACTGGTTAAGTCTTGCAGGAGGCGACAGATATATAAAGCGTATGGTAATGAATGTCTCCAACTGACAACCTTGGAAATGATTTCAATGCATAATCTACATCACAAATTACATCATTAAAACAGGCAGCAGAATATATCCAACCTATTTAACCTCACAATGAATCTATTAACGAATAGAAGAAAATATTTATTGGATTCTACTTACTGATAATCCTCTTCATCTTTTTTCTTTGGTTGGTAGTTCTTTACAAGCCTCCTGTGAAATAAAGCAGAATTAATTGTCGCTCTACATACATTCAGTTAACCCTTTCAAGTCCAAATTATTAAGTATTCTGTTTGTAAAGTACATTAATTATTTTTGTCATAGAAAAACATATTCACACCAATCCCTTTTTTAATTACGGAAACCATCTCTCCCGCTAAACTTGAAAAGGTTGACTGATACAGAAAATGAATAAATAAATATATATAAATATAGGCTGTTTTATAACAGAAAATAATTAAACACGTTAGAACACATTACAAACATTCTGTGTTAACGAGAATCTACAGAAAAACTGTACTCTGTGCGGGTATGATAAATTCATAGCATTTTAAGACAATGTACAGATTCTTATAGACTCTTATGGTTCAACGTCGCTTTATTAACTTCAATAATTATATAGTAAGGAACGAGCTATAGTGATATATCCAGCGACTTCGGAGGGATAAGATGGAAAAATCCTAAGTTATTTAATGTTACTGTATCATCAAACGGTCGTGGCCTACTGCCATGCAGTATCCAGAATATATCAAATAGCCTACAATGTACCGAAATGTATTACGCGACATCGCCAGCAAGAATTTATTTATGAAAAGAATGCGAAAACCAATTCCACACGGTACCAGCACTCAAAACGACTTACTCGTTATCCGGGAGACTTTTCATATATAATACGCAGAGGAAGTTTGTACCACGTCACACTCTGCAGGTAAATGTATCATAATGTGGATGGAGATACACGAAGTCCTTGTTATGGGTTCGTTTTCACATTCTTCAAAGAACGCAAAGAAAATTCTTTTACGGAATTCCAACGTAAATTACAACGTCTGAAGTGGCTGCTTCGTCTAATATATAATCAACATGAAAGGATGGGATGTCCTGCAGGGAGCAGACACGTTATTAGTAACAACAAACATCCTGAGTAGCAGCTGTAAAAGAAACCAGTCCCAGTGTTGCCACAATGGTAGTGTCAACAGAAAACAGTACGTATAGCCTTCTACCACCCTGTGGACAATCTTACTAAGGTCACAAACACGACATAATACATAACATAGAATCGAACTGCAACGAGTAGGTGTTCTTTGTTTGAAAATAAGAAAACAGGTTTCTGTACCCGAGTCCATCTATGGTTTGGTTGCACAGGTAAGCCGCATGCTGTATTCTATTGTACAGTTAAGGTGGGGAAAGTCTATGACCCTGTAGAGCTGGGCCTCTAACAGGCCCTTTGCCCATTCCACAGAATAAATATGCGGCAGTGGTGGAATGATACTGACAGGGAAAAACCGAAAGATTCCGTGAATAATCTGCCTCAGTAGCACCTTGGCCGCCATAAATCCCAACGGACTAACCTGAGCGTGAACCTGGGCTTTCGAAATGTGACAAGCCAGGGAGTAAGTTCAATATCAAGAGTTTTTAATGTTGTCATGATAACACGATTCTGAGTTCTGCAACATGTTTATGTAGTCATTTTATTGTTTCTTTAATTCGTTTACTTACATGGTCAAAAGTGAAATAAATTGTGTGCCTGGCCTTCATTTCATATTCCGCTATCTTACTCTACCTGAGTCTGGAAGCGTTGGACCCTTCCCGGAATCGAACCCCGCTTACCCAGCCCATAACCCAGTCATTTTCATAAAATAAGACGAGGCAACTCACTAGGGAGTAGGACACCTGTATGTATATGCCGCCATCCTATTCGCTGGCTGTGCTCGGTATAATAATGGCGGTTCCGAATGTTGTGCTGCTGAAATGCTCCCTATTTTGAGGAGAGGCAGAAGTAAAGGGCCTATGTAATTAAATATAAACAACACTGGAAAGGAGGATTTGAGGTTTTCACAGCGGTGAGTCTGAAGATGGGTGTCTTCTGGGTTGTTGCGCCGTGTAGTCTGGTAGAAGTTTACCGACGTTTCAGAGGTCATTGCTGCCTCCATCATCAGGGCGATCATCTCTCCAACTCTTCACAACTGCCTATGAGTGACGCACAGTACAAACAACTCAGAGAATACAAAGACCATTGTATTGATCGAATGATGAGCTGTGCGCCAGTCCCTTCACCCTAGGACTGCAGAACACAGTTTTCTCCCCACAAACGTAACGAGGAAGACGTCTGTTACCCTAAGAACCGGACAGGACTTCAAGCAGCCTCTTCCCTTCAGATTTTCGATAGCATTTTCCATGTGCTTATCATCTTCCTCGTGCGTGCTGTATGTCACCACCTCTTCCGCTCTGACTTCATAACCACAATAATATTTCGCAAAGAATTTATTCATCAAGCCCCTCATTATATAATTCTCTCCATTCTCCTGGAATGTCCCTACTCCTAGTATAAAGTATCATTCTCATTACTATGTTTTCAAACAATTCAAGCTCTTCCATTGGGGCGAAAAACAAACTTTTACGCACAGAAAACATGTAAAATTATAATTCTGTAAATCAAAAAATCTGTACTAAATGTTAGGTACCATTCCTCTGCTCTTAGTTTCTACACACACACACACACACACACAACTGATTTCTTTATCGTCGTTAATGAATATTTAAACTTGACGCACCTTCGAACAATTTATTAAATGCCTTTACAATTAAGAACCATTTCTTTTCAAACTTACTCTAAAGCTCAGTCCTCACTGTTCGAAGCCTAGTATCCTGCTGACTGGGGTTGATGGCCTACGATTTAATCATCTTGAAACTGTTACGCAGGCGAAAAGGTTTGACCTTGACAGTACGGACCCATGCAAATGTCCTATGGGGGTAAATCTGTCTAAAATATAAGGCTATAACTAAGCAGGATGTTTCAAATGATTAATTTCTAGCCACAAGGTCCATTTGCCCCTAACCCATAACGCCAAGGTCACAGCTTTCCTCCAGAGTAACAGACAGTACAGCTTCTGTGGGTCCATCGACACACCTAATTCCAGAACCCGACACTAAATTATCCGCGGCTTCAAATCTCGGCCCGGAGATTGGTTGCCCTCAGGCTCGTCAATCTAGGATAAAGAGCCTAACGTGAAATGAGCTACGACGGCTTCCGCCCACATTACTGCAATTTCATTATTCTGCAATGTGCGCAATGCAGTTGACAAACAGCCTACACTACATGATGGTAGCGCTGCTCCAGCATCAGTCTGCACACTTACTGTACGAGCACCGACGAAAGTCCCCTGGAAGCAGGGTCGCATTAACGGCTACGCCGTACTCTTTCTTAAAACACGCGCGCAGCAGTTGATATAGTAAACGATAGGCAGTGACAACATAACGGTGGAGTGGCCTCCAATGGCATGACCTTCGTAACGAGTTTCATAATCGGTCGAGTGTTTCTACAAGTTTTCGGTGGAATGCATGAGTATTTTTAAACGCCAAACCAGAAACAAAAGAGTTAAAAACAATTACTTTAGCTGCCCTGGTGAAAGTAGTACCTATTACTTGAATTGCTGGCATGGATTGTCGCTGTGTTGGCAGTTGTCACGTGGCACAGGCTCCAACATCAACGGAATTCAGACTTTCCTTACTCTTTAGAGGCAAATGTGTACTGTCTCAAAATAGGACACGACTGTCTTTTCCCGCTTTACATTTACGATCATCCTCAAATCCCCACTGATGTTACGTAATTTCCGTGCTTTGTAAGCTGTCTACAAATAAAGTCGGAAACAAATGTATTCATTACTTTATCTTGGATAACGCCAGTGAGGGATTGCGAAAAACACCTATTGTGCATGGAGACCTGCCATAAAAAACCAAGGTCAGACAAATAACTGTCTTGGCCTTATCTCGTCGTACATAATGCCTTAATCCATACCTACTGCAATCAATCGAGTCTGTGAATACGTTTCTGAAACACAATTATAATGCTATAACGTCTACACGGTAGTTTGAAGGTGCAACAGGCTATCAGAAGCTATAAAACGATACTCACATTATTTAGTGAACCATTTCTTTGGATAAATGCTGAGCAAAATATGACTTTAAACCAGTCGAAAACTTTCACTGTTAGAGCCAGGAAATGTGTGGTCCGTTGAACCAAGTGTTAAACTTATCACGCCCCGTCTGCCTTACTCCCATTAAAACGTACCCTCGGTACCCACAAGTTAAGTGGCTGGGTGAGCCCGGTTTAAACGCGGCAGCAAAGAAAACCTGTACCTCAGATGAGAATCGAACCCCGGTCGTCCAACCCATTGCCAGCTACACTGAGATATCCTGGCTTACTTGATG